GAGGGCATGACAGCAAGGGCCTAGGCAAAAAATAAAAGAGAGAGCAGGCGGTAACTTTGGTGCACCTTGGGGGAACCGAGAGAGTTCTTCTCCTTCTCCTTGCTTCGGTTCTTACAAAACTAAAATCAGTCTGAGTTGCTATTCACATGCAATTGGGAAGAAAGCGTGCGGCCTAAGGTCGAAACCGAGTGGTTGTGACTTTAGAGAGGGCTGTAGGCACCTATGGCTCGATGAAATCATATTAGGCCTCTTCCTTTGATTTTCTATGAATTGAGAGAGGAGGCTTTCGAATCGAGCCTCTTCTTTTTCGTTTCTAGTTATAAGAAATTAAGAGAGAACATCAGAATGTTTGCTTCTTCCTTCAACTTTTTTTGAAACCAGAGAAACTTGTGTGAGGGCTTCTTTTTCTCAGGTCTTTTGATTGTGTGAAGTTGAGAGGAAGAAGACTTGAAGTAGTCGTCCATCTTTGTTCTATATTGCATTCATCTCGGCGGTTGACCTCAAAGGCTATTAAATTCAGAACATTAATTTTGGCGAGTATGTGGCGGTGGAGGTGACGTATAGAAGCGGTCCAAATAACAACTCCATTTATGTTGTCTTCGTCTCTTCCCGTGGAAGTCACCCATTGCTTCAACGAGGTAAAATACTTTTAACTTAGGAAAACTAAGTCTCTTAGACTTTTGGTGTTGTGTATAACGCTCTTGAAGTTCTAAGCCTACATAGAAACTTTGGTTTATGCTCTACAAATCCTTAAACCCTTGTTACCCTCTTTGCAAACCCATGGAAATTCATTGATTTCCAATGAGTTCTCATTTGAGAACCCAAAGAGGATGGTAATCGAAGCATTAGGTCATTGGACTCCCACATTAAGCATGGAAATTACATTTATCTTGGAGCCTTTCTTTCCCTATATGATATACTAGACGTTGTTATTTGATCCCAAATCAACTGACAATGCGTAGATTTCGATCACCACCGTTTGCATTTTCTTCTTACGAAATCATAGGTTATGACAATATTAGCCTAAAGATATTGGAACTCACATTGGTTACGATTTATAAACATTTCCTAATTTTGTTGAATGTCTAAAAATGGATTTAATTGATTTAGAAAACTCACAAACAATATGCGGATCTTTCATGGACCCTCAAAGGTTAATGTTTCAAATCCCACAATGGGTAAACTTAATTAAATTCGTTTTTTGATATTTTGCCAAATTTAGTGCATCAAAATAAAAAGAATAATTAAAAATTCTTAAAATTAAAAAAATCATTCAATGCACACCTAGGTCCTTATATTATTATAAAATTAACCTTAGGACTCCTAAAGTTATAGGAAATGATTCTTCCAATTTTAAAGAATTCAAAACATTCTTAAAAAAAACCCTTTAGGAACTCTCTTTTCTCATGCATGGTGCTTTGAAACTCCCCAAAGCTTCAAGCATCTCATTGCTCGAATCTTAGGACCTCTTTGGATCGTAGTTCAACTTGTGACAAATCTTAGAATCGTTCTAATTCAAGTTAAACCAAATTCATCTTGAGTCATCCTATTCAACCTCCCTTGTTAGTTGTTTTCTTAAACTCCCATAGAGATTCCCAATTAATCTCTAAGGAGTCAAAGAGAGCACAAAGGGTCATTAAGATCAAATCTTAGGTTCACTAATCAGTTGGTTAAGCCAAAAATTAGCAAAGAACATCTACTTTAGGCATATGATTCCAATCTTAACCTCCCAAAATTTTGATGCTTGAACCCAAAAATTCAAGAACCCTTGATTGGTTGCCCCAAAACTACAGATTATTCATTTGATTTTCCATGGTATTTTCTTAGTCCAATTAAGCAAGTATATTGATGTCTATGGACCCAAAAGTCATAGAAAATCTCATTTTCCTTATCCTTAAAGTGATAGAAAATCCTCTAATCCTTAGCTTCAAAGTTATAGATTTCACCCGTTCTTCCTTAGCTTTAAAACAATAGGATATCCCATAACCCTTAGCCTCAATTCTATATGTTATTCATCATCTTCTTTTGCTTGACTTCAATTAAGCAGATGATCCCTATCTGTACACCCTTAAGCCTTAGATTCTCCTATAGGAGTCAAATCAAATAGGAACCTTCATTTTCTTTGGCTTAAAGCTAAAGCTTATAAGCTTGACCCAATCAAGGACATGATCTCTAAATTCAAACTCCAAACTCTAGATTTTCATTGCTTAGCCAAAATATGTAATTTCATCAATCATTACATTAAAATTCAAGCTTCTAATTCTCTTTAGAAGCCTTTTTTTTCCTAAAATTTATCTTATTAAATTAGGCGAATTTCACCACATTCTAAGTTAAATCCTTAGATAAGTTTTGCTTTGTCCTATCAAATAAACTTCTTTCTTTTGATGCAGTGATATATCATTCTTCTCTAAAAGGTGGAATACCTGCATCACTAGATCTTAGGATTCCATGGATGACATACTTATCTCTCGAAACAAGTAATGGACATTCTATGGGTTCTTTAAAATTCACTAAAAATGTGAACCAAAATAAATAAAAACTTTTAAATATGGGTGTCAATATTTGACACGACCCGCAACCTCAACTCTAACCTGGCTCGAAAAATTCAGTTTTGGGTCAATCCGTTTGAAAAACAGGTCTAGTTTGGGTTTAAAATCCTAACCCGATTGCAAATTCGGGTTGGGTTTAGGTCAACCCAAAAACCTTACTTCAACTCGGAACCTTCAACCTTTACATGTTCCTTTGATGCCTAACCCGTTCCTTTGACGCCTCCTTCGATGTCGTTCCTAAGTTCCTTATGTTGGGTCAGAAGTCACGATAGCTCACCTCCTTCGACGCCGTTCCTTCTGTTGGGTTGAAAGTCACGAGTCACGACAGCTCACCTCCTTCAAGGCTTCGAGGCTTCGTGGCTTCGACGTCATTCCTTCTGTCGGGTTGGAACATGAGTCATGACAGCTCGCCTCCTTTGACATAGTTCCTTTTGTCGGGTCGAAAGTTACGACAACTCGCCGTTTAGAATGACAACGATGGGAGGGATCGTTGGATCAGAAGTCACGCCAGCTTGCAGTTTGTTGGATCGGAAGTCATGACGATGACAGGAGGGAGCTCGTTCTTTGCGAAGGTAATCATTTTCTCCCGTATTTTCGTGTCGGGTCGGTCAACCCGGTGACCATTTTCTCTTGTGGTTGAAATTTATGACCTGTTTGCAAAAACGGGTCGGGTTCATGTCGTGTTAAACAGTAACAGGTCAAAATCAGGTTTGACCTAAACCCGACCCGCAACCCAATCTTGATACCCCTACTTCTAAGTCATAAAAACTTTAAAGTAAAATTTGTCCTAAATTAAAAACTAAGTCTTTTCCTATTCCACAATAAAATAAAACATTAAATCATAGTATGACAACCACTCACAACATCACACACTACATACACAACCCTTAGGTATCCTAAGATTAGCATTTCTTTTGTGCATGTGATTATGATATTTGGTGTGATGATTGATGGATTATTTGTGTTGTGGGCACTTGCCCTTTAGTGTTAGAGTAGAAATATATGTTTTTCCATGCAGGTGGCCATGTCCAAAATGGTAAAAATAGTTAAATAATTATCATTTAACAAAGTTTGCTTATAGTCTCTTATAAGCTAAAAGTTGAGTTTTGAGTAAGTATGATCAATAAGGTGAAAATCAGCTTGGCACTACAAATGTGAAACAATCTGTGTGATGATTATATATGTATATGTTTCTTATTTTTAAGTTCAGGATCGAGTTCCTTTTTTGCTTTTCAAATATAATTTATAAATTTAGAAAGTCATATATCTTGTGGGATACAATTATGAGAACAATGAATTAAAATGATGAACCCTAAAGTGAAGCTTAAAGACCATAGGTTATGTAATTTTAGTTAGTAAGACAAATAACTTAATTGCCACTTTTCATTTCTGGTTGTGGCAATATAAGGCCTGTACACAATTCTTTGATTGATTCATATATACTTGATTGCTTGTTTAATTTGAGTGCATATTAAAAATGCATAATTTTTCTCATATTTTTTTCTTGCTTTGCTTGGTGGTGGCCTGGACATTTTATGCAGTTGACTTATAAAAAACATAAGTGTTTTTACTAATTAAAATATAGGCAATATAAAATCAACCATATTATACCATTTTCAACTATAATTGCATGGCTTATTAAAAATAAACCAATTAAAAAAAATTCAAATCCTCTTTATGAATTGTTGTCTGCAACTTAGTATATGATTGATTGCTTATTCATGAGGATATGATCAAAATCAACTATCAAACTCATGTACAAAGCTAATGAATATCATACGTATAGTCTACTGTGTCACATAATAAATAAAAGCCCTCACATTAAGGATTAGATAACAAAAAAATTGCGTAGCGAGTCAGCATGTGCATACTCATATATCAGGCTTCATAAGTTATGTGGTTGAGTTGTAAGTTCTATGTCCTAATATCAAAACAACCTTAACATATCTTGCATATGCATTTAGACTAGACTTGCATGGGTTTTAAAAGCACTTAGGTGGGTTTAGCTAGCTATCTTTTTCATGCAAGATTGTAAGTCTAGGTCAGACTGACTTAACTCTTGATACGATTTCAAGTTTTAAGTCCCATGCATTCCGCTAATTTTAGGACGGAGTTACTTTCTATCGGTTGTTCTTACCTT